CCATTGTCCAAAAATCAACAAAAACAACTCATTTTTTCAGTGCATTTATTATATGCACCTTTCGGTGCTTAGTCAACGTAATTGAATTTTATAGACGTGTGTATATTTGTATACTCTTATGTTTTATTTTTTAATTTTAATTAATTTATGTATATTTGAAGTATTTTAATCAAATTAAGTTATTTGAGATTGTGGCTTTATGCATTATAAAAATTTCAGAAAGAAGAAATAATTTTATCTCAGTCAGTAAGAGCTGTGGAGGAAAGTGGGGGGCATCTTGCATAATTAAGAAAGGCCTTTTTAAGGAAGGGCATTGATTATGTCGAAAAATGGATGGAAATTAGATGGCAAATCCACCAAATGGAATTGAGTAATTATAGCTAAAAGCAACTCAGGAGAAGACATAGTCAACAAGGAAAAAAAGAAGGGTTTGATTGGGTACAAGTTGAAGACACTCGTGGATGTGTTGTCTCAGGAAATTTGGAGAAAGTAACTCCCAGAATATCCTCTCTCCAGAAAATGCCGCTTCAGCCTTTCACCATCTATTCAATCTCTTGCCAAATTTTATAGCAATGGAATCTTTTATTTGAAAACTTATATTACCCTCATCTTGTGATCTCAGCCACATGTTTTTTAACCATCATTAATTCAAAAGATTATTGGTAATACATTACATTCTATTCAAAAGATTATTTCATGGTGAGTCAAGCGCTTGTGTTTGGGGGAGTGTTCAATCCCAGTGCTTGAGGCTGCGAGGAAGTAAAATAACCATATATCCTTTGGGGTTTCTGGGATCGTGATCGGGGTTTGCGGGCTGCCGTTGATCGGATTCCCGGAGACTAGAGATGACACAAAGAGTGAAGAAGAGCACAAACAAAACGTTAAGGTGGCGGCCTCAATTACAACGTCGGCATAAGCGGTATGGGTCCTAATCAGTAGCAACTTGCATTGTCTTGCTTCAATAACTTGTTTGTTTCTTGTAAAATGAATTTGTTCCTCAAAAGTTTGAGGTTCAATTATTCAGGATAAGCAATCCTAGCCTAGCCTCTCATCTAATCAATCAAAATCGTTGGCCCACGATCATGCATGCTAGGGTATATCCATGGCACTAGTACATCTTTTTTATTTACAATCATTACTAGTTAATTCATTAATCTTTTAATCTATATTTATTATTGTTAAACAATCATTTTAACTAGATTTATTATATTTATAATGTTATGATTCAGATTTTAGATTTTATTTAAAAATTTAACGTGGTGGAGATCCTTTCTTCTTGGGGGTCAGTGGAGGCCAGTTCAGAATAAGCCGAATGGGTCCAGCATGACTAGATGCACGGTCATTCAAAGCAGGCAAGAGCAGATAACAGTGACCGCATGTACCGTTGGTTCCAAATTTTTTCAAGTTGTTCCTTTTAAAATTAATTAGTTTTATTTAGTCTATTGATCGATTAATTCATATTGAATTTTGTAAAGTCTCATTATAAGGGTAACGCTTTTAACCTAATTTGCCTCATTCAAAAACGTTAGCATTCAAATATTTGACCTTACTTAAAAAATCAAATGTCTCATCCTACTAAATTAAATTATTGTTAATAGTAGTTCTTTTTAAATATTAGTTTGAAATAACTTAAAATTTATAGCCTCAAATGATGAATTTAAATTTATAAGGAAATAATACGAGCACATTAACATTTATCGATTAACATCTAGTTCGATTTCAAATAAAATATTTTATTTACAGAGTCATAAAATTAAAAAGTATTAATAAAATTAAAATTATTAAATAATTTTAATGATGGTTAATGATTTTAATGATGGAAAGAAATATTATTACATTTAAAAATTTCGAGTTTAGACTATTCAAAGAAAATATTAACTCCATTAAATAGTAATTGATATTTCCTAAACAATAAATATTAAACCCGTAAAAATCTGATATTTCCTATACCATAAATGTTAAGCCTGCAAAAATCTACTCATTTGACTCTTTCTAGCAGTACATGAATTAAATTGATTGATTTAATGGTAGAGGAACAAATGTGAACCAATCTCTCTAATTTAGGGACTAAATTGGGCAGGTCTGTATATTAAATAAAGGGACTAAATTGATATAATCCCTTTAATAAAAAGACCTCACAAGTACTTCCACAGAGAAAGAGAAAAAGAATCAATGCTAACTGCCTAACAATGTTATTCAAAAAGAAGATGCCATTTGAACCTTTCACTATCCATTCAATCTTTTCTAGAGTTGGATGATCTTTAATTTGAAAATCCATTGCCTTATCTTGTTATTTGAGCCACAAGCTTTCTAATCATTTATTCAATAGATAATTGTCATTAATGCAAAAGATAATTCCTAAGACATTATATTAAACATTTTTATGAAAATTTTCTACCATTCCTTTTGAAGAAATCTTCTATTTGTGATCACTACAAAGGGCAATCAGATCAGCTTGGATTTGAGAATTGATGAACCAAAAAATAAAGAGAAAGCATAAATAAATGAGAATAAAAGCATGTGTTAAACGTACACTAGGAAATAAGTTGCATGTACCGGCGGTCAAAAAACGTCACTATAAACTTAGGCTTAGTTTATTTTTAGTTTATAACATCTTCAAATCTCTTATGTCTGCGCCGCGCAGACCACACGCATACATTAGACTTCGCAGACCGTTTGTTTTTTAGAAGACAAAAACTCTTCTAACGTCTGCGCAAGCTCTTCTTGGTACAGACATGATTTTATGTCTTCAAAGGTCTTCAAACCTCTTCAAAAACAATTATAAAATATGATTATTTATTAAAATAATTTTAAATAATTTAATAAGGTTATTTATTTTAAAATAATTTATTATAAAATAATTTATTTTAAAATAATTTATTATAAAATAATTTATTTTAAAATAATTTATTATAAAATAATTTATTTTAAAATAATTTATTATAAAATAATTTATTTTAGAATAAATTATTATAAAATATGGATTGATTTATTTTAAAATAATTTATTTTAAATAATTTATTAGTATGTATTGATTTATTATGAAATATGGATTGATTTATTATAAAATATGGATTGATTTATTTTAAATAATTTATTAGTATGGATTGATTTATTTTAAATAATTTATTAGTATGGACTGATTTATTTTAAAATATGGATTGATTTAATATTGTAGTTGTATAGATTGATTTATTTTAAATAATTTATTAGTATGAATTGATTTATTTTAAAATATGGATTGGTTTATTTTAAATAATTTATTAGTATGGATGATTTATTTTAAAATATGGATTGATTTATTATTGTAGTTGTATGAATTGATTTATTTTAAATAATTTATTAGTATGAATTGATTTATTTTAAAATATGGATTGATTTATTTTAAAATATGGATTGATTTATTTTAAATAATTTATTATTGTAGTTGTATGGATTATTTAAATTTCAGTATTGTAAAACTAAAATTATTTAAATCTCAGTATTGCAAAACTCTTTTAAGTTTAAAAAATCATTTTAAGTTTAAAAAATCAGTTTATTTATATTTCAGTTCATTTTAGCAGTCTGCAGACGTTAAAAAATAAACAGTCTATTTCTTACAGACTGTAGACTTTTGATCCACATCTTCTGCTGCAGATGCCTGCATATGTGGTCCGTAGACTACATACATTTTACCTCTGCAAAAACAAACAGCACCTTAAGATCTGTCCTTATAGACTTTAAAAAAGCTATAATGACAAGCTAATGATTTACCGAAGAAAACAAATGTTGTTAGTATAAAGAGGTGATGATATAAACATATAGTGACGCATATTTTAGTCGATATACACCCGAGGTTAATGATCGTCAATAAAAGCACTTTCGATCATCATAATTTAAAAAAAAAACATATAAATATGGTTTTACAACCATCAATATAATTTAAATGATATTGCGACGATTGTGTATTGGTGGCATTCGGTCAGTAAATTTATTCAAAATTTTTGTGTTTATAATCCAGCTCCAATAATCAGTATATCGCATAGTCAATAAAAGTTCAAGCTGACGGTTTTTGTCAGTATATATACAAATATATATATATATATGGATTACGAAACCGGTTAATACAATGTAAACTTTTAGTGGCGGTAGTTAAAATCTGTCAGTATCAGTATTAGAACTGATGGATTTTACCTATCAATATAAATGTTCATTAGTAAATGGAATTTTTTGTAGCGTATGAATTTGATTATACATTCTCATTTATAAATGTTAATTGTTATGTTAAAATTTATAAATGTGCATAATTTAAGGTTTAATTCATTTGATTCATACAATTATTTTAAGAAATGATATAATATTTGATAGGTCCTTATACTATGCTGTAAGTGTTGATTTAAACTATCTACTTTAACTTGAACATTTTTAATCCTTACGTTTTTTATTGTCATTTTCACTCAGTAATTTGACATTTTATAATTACTTCAAAAAAAATAATAATTAGTCTACCTTAAATTTACTTGGGACTATTTGTTTGTCTCTTAATGAAATCATTCAACGTTGAATGCTAAACCATTCGATATTCAACGCGTTTGTTTCGTACATTTGAATAATTAAGTGTTGACTGATTCAGCAAAACAATGTTGAATGATTCAGCACAAAAGTACATTCTGAATGATTCAGAGTCATTATCAAACAACATGTCACATTCTGAGCTAATTAATACAGAACCTCTAAATCATTCAATATTTGAATCATTCAGCGCTGAATCATTTAACGTTTAATCATTTTGAAATAAACAAACAACTCCTTAATGAGTATTAAAGATAAATATGTGGGCTAATCTAGATATATGTTGACATGGTTTGACGTGTCATACAGTCCTCTCCCCGGCTGTACCGGTTGTCATTTTTTAATTTTATTCAAAGCTGTCATTCATAAGGTCCCGTACATCTCTATTAATATGCACCGAAGCACCAAAGGATCACACACCATCTTATCACAAAACAATACACAATCACTTGCTTCCTCTCTTAGAACGGTGTATGGCCGATTCAACACCGCTTCTCTCTGATTGTGATAAACCGGCAGAACCCAAGCGGCTGCCTCGATCCCTCGATGAAACCATCGAACGCTGCATCGGAGACTTCGGGTGGTTCCAAATCTTTCAAGCAATACTCGTCTCATTTGCTTGGGTCTTTGACGCCCAGCAAACGTTCATCAGTGTATTCACTGACGCTGAGCCATCTTGGCACTGCACTGACGATTCGGTTTGCGACAAGTTCTCCAACATTTGCCAACTCCCCAAGGGTTCATGGTCTTGGGATTGGCCTGCGCACACATCGATTATATCGGAATGGGGCCACGAATGTTCCACCTCTTTCATCACTGGGCTACCTGCTTCTTCTTTCTTCATGGGTTGCCTATTTGGTGGACTTGTGCTTGCCACGCTTGCTGACTCGACACTTGGCCGTAAAAATATGCTCTTGTTCGCTTGTCTAATGATGTCTTTTTCTTCCATATTCACCGTTTTTTCGCCCAATATTTGGATCTATTCAGCCTTGAGATTCATCAATGGGTTTGGCCGCGCAACTGTTGGAACTTGTGCCCTGGTGTTATCAACCGAGCTTGTGGGAAAACGGTGGCGCGGCCAAGCTGGTGTTATCGGATTCTTTTGTTTTACTTTAGGGTTTCTGTCATTACCTGCAATGGCATATGTAAATAGAGGTTCCTCATGGAGAACTCTGTATCTCTGGATTTCGGTGCCGACAATTTTGTATTGTGTGTTAGTTCGTTTGTTAGTTCACGAGTCCCCGAGATGGCTGTTCGTTAAAGGACGCAAAGAGGAAGCAGTTACGACACTCAAAAGCATGGCTCAGACTGCTAGTGTCTTGACAATGAGTTTCTCCAATGTCATAATCGAGCAAGAATCTTGGAACGACAATGTAGATATTTACTCTTCCATCAAGATAATGTTGAACAAGCGATGGGCTGCTCAAAGGCTAGCCGCCGTCATGGTGGCAGGTTTTGGGATTGGAATGGTGTACTACGGCATGCCACTAGGCCTCGGAAATCTGTCAGTCAATCTCTATTTAGGCGTCACATTAAACGCCTTATCCGAGCTCCCAGCTTCACTGATTACATTCTTCCTTATAGGGAAAAACAGGAAAGAGTCGTTGTTGGGTTTCACAATCTTAAGCGGTGTATGCAGTGTAATGTGTGTGGTGATGGGAAGAGTGTGGCCAAGTTTACAGATAGCAATGGAGCTGATATCTTTCTTCAGCGCTTGCACGGCGTTCAACATGGCTCTGATATACACATTAGAGCTATTCCCCACATGCGTGAGGAACTCAGCCATCTCAATGGTGAGGCAAGCGCTTGTGTTTGGGGGAGTGTTCAGCCCATTGCTTGTGGCTGCTGGTAGGAAAAATAACTTGATATCGTTTGGGGTTTTTGGGATGGCGATCGGGGTTTGTGGGCTGCCATTGATCGGGTTACCGGAGACGAGAGGCGGCACAATTTGTGACACAATGGACGAAGAGGAGCACAGACAGAAGGAAAAGGCGGCAGCCGCAATTCCAACGTTGGCATAAGCTGTATGGGTCCAATGATTAACTTGCCAATAATTGCTTGTTAAAGTTGGTATTTCTTTTTTAATGCTGCCTTTGTTGTACATCTTTTTCGAATATTTTGTATGAATAAATTTCATTATTTTGTAAACCAAGTATTATTAAATAATGTTGTAGATCCGAATTAATATCCGTCTCCAATTTGCAATAATGAGCTTTGGCTTATTTCAGATAATGTTTTGAAACCAATGGTATTTTATCCTGTCATGTAAGCAGCCAAAAGCATTGGCCCTCACACATAGCGTACATGGGTAAGGCATAAGTGAATCCATCCATGGGCATTGGAGTCACATCATTATCACCTTAGTACATGACATGAAACCGGCATTGTCTTTGAAAAGTGGGGATACTTTCTTCAATGGAATCAGCCATATGGGGCCAGTATGACTAGATGCAAAATCATTCGATGGGAAAAGAATGAAGGGCATCTTATGAGATCAAAAAAGCCTTTTAAGGAAGGACATTGACGATGGCAAATCCACCAAATTACCAAATGGAGAGGGCATAATAAGCTTAAAAAAAACTAAAAAAGTGGTGGTGGGTTAAGCAAAGTATATCTGGCTAAGATAAGGGGAAGGTGCAGAGTCAGTGCCACGTTGTCACCTCAAACAAGGGAAAATTATTGTTTGATTTCAGTACATGTTGACAAGGTTGAAGACACCACAGGATGTACTGTCGGAGGATATTTTGGAGAAAGTAAATCACAAATACACTGTCCAACCATGCCACTTGAACCTTTCACTTTCTGTTCGTTCTTTTCTATATTTTGTTGGAATGGATATTATTCCATGGTCATGGAAACAAATATATATTTCACAAGCGAAGATTTAGTGTTGTATGTCTTATTTAAGACCTTAACTCTTAAAATTTAAAGTCTTAATCTTTAAATTCTAAATAAAATACGTGATAATATTTAAACTCTACCTATAGAATGTTTTTCAACGTTAATATATGAGATAATATTTGAAATTAAACGTTAATACCCCTGACATTCCTAGTGCTCGAACTCAAAACCTCTAAAAATAACAACAATTATTTTACAATCAAGATTAATTAATTCGTGCACAATATCTTTTAGTTTAAAGATGAGATAAGATATATATAGTCTAATCATTAAATTAATCGAGATCACCAGTCACATCTATTGTATTACTTGAAATATATATAGCTGCAATTAATAATTCTTGCTTGCTAACTTTTGAATATATTACTCAATTGCTAAATTTTTATTTCTTTAGAAACATCAATTTCCTCAATCAATGTCCTTGTTTGCTGCTTCTCGCCCTTCTACGAACACTTCTCTCTAGTTTTCAAAAGCCAACACAATGACGTAGAGTCATTCTTTATATCCTCTAATTAAAGGTTTGGTCGGTCTGCTCTGGTGTTGTTGGGATATAGGGTCGTTTGGCTTTCGTCCCCAATTTTGCTACTCGATGGATTGGGTGTTTTTTCTTTTATAGCTTGGTGAGATCCTTTCATTCTCTACATACTGCAATTTTATTCCTATTCCTATTGTTTGTTGTTTCGTGCTCGAGATCTGGATTAAGTATGAAACTAAATTCAAGGTTTTGAGATTCTGTGTGAGTTTTTTAGTCAGTGTCTGGAGTCAGTCTGCGATAGCTAAAACTGCATGCAAGGTGTTTGTGTAAAATCCATAATGATTTTGTATTTTGCTCGTTTGAAATATTTCAATATGAGGGAGAGCGTTACTTGTATTTCTTCGGAATCTGGTTATTTGTATGTGGTTTTCTACCAAACACTTTTCTTTGGAAAGGTTTATGGATGATTGTGGGTTGCTATGGTGAGGTCCTGTGAGTGTTCTTTCTCAATAAGAGGAGTTGTTTGGCTCTATTTTTGGATTCGTTAATGATGTTGAGCCTGAAAGTGAAGTTTTCAAGGATTTAGAGTTTCCAGAACTGCTTAAACTTGGTGCGTGTCTGTCTGGGGTAGTAGAGGTTGTAGGTTTTGTTCTTGAGATTTTGTTCGTGGTGTTCTCAAAGATGTTGCCAAGTGTTTTCTGGTGGTTTTCTTCCTTTCATCGTTTATTGCCTGAGTGTTTATGGTTGTTCAGGGGTTGTGCTTTGGTGGGTGGTGTTTATCTTGTGCTTTGGTGGTCTGCCGCGTGTGAATGTGTGCGGATGCTATAGTTTTTTATGTTTTTTGTGGCTAGTTTTATGTTCTTTGGTGTTTCTTATTGATGTTGTCCACTGTCTGATCCTGCGTTGGTTTAATGCTTTGTCTTTTCAATGGTCTGAATTATGTTCGATCTTTCGCAGTTTTTGGGGAGTTGGGTGAGATGTGTTTGTTGTTTTGTAGTTGGGTATTAAGATGGGGAGGCAAAGTCTGTGTTGTTGTTTCCTTGGCTTGGGTGTTTGTGTCCTATCGTTTTGTGTATTGCAAGAGTTGTATGGGGTCAACTGGAACTTCATTGTGTGGGTGAAGAGTGGATGGTGTATTCTCAGTTTCGACAGGCGGTTTTAAAAGATTGGGTGTATGAGCACTCGAGCTAGCATCGTTCTGGGAAATATGGAGATTTTCGGAGATGGTGCTCTATCTTGTAGGGTCTCGCATGCTGTCCTTTTGTGGGATATGAGGCGGTTTTCGGGTGAGTGCGTGTTCTAATATGAGTTTTAAGGCTTTTAGGCGGTTTTGAAAGATTGGGTGTATGGGCACTCGGGCTAGCATCGTTCTGGGAAATATGGAGATTGTCAGAGATGGTGCTCTGTCTTGTAGGGTATCGCGTGCTGTTCTTTTTTGGGATATGAGGTGGTTGTCGGTTAGTGCGTGTTCTAATATGAGTTTTAAGGCTTTTTTATTGGATTAGGGGTTGGCAAGTAGATTCTTTTTCTTAGTGCGTTGCCTTTGGTCTATTTATGGGTGATTCTATTGTTTAGTTTCATTCAATTTGGATGTCTGTGTATGTTCCTCAGTGTGACCTTTATTCTTATTGTCGGTTAGTCTTTGTTGGTCCTATTATGTGTCGGGTTGGGGCTTGTGGTAGGACGGGGTTCCGCCAAAATGTTGTAAGAGTTTTATGTCTATTGTTTATTACCATTTCAAGGTACACTCTTTTTCCTCCATTTAGGTTTAGGGAGGCTTTTTAATGAGGTCCTTGAGATGGTTTACTTTGTTTATCTTTTAATACAAAGTACCATCTTTCAAAAAAAAAATCGTTATTTTCTTTATTCCTCCTCATTGACTTGAAATGTCACATTGATATTTTAAAACCTTTATTCTTGTAAAATAACTGAACATTTGAACTTATATTAAGAAAATACGATCATATATTCTTCAATTGTGTTTGGTATAAAATTTTGAGATAAAAATGTATTTATGAACAATGAAATATGATATGAACAGTACCGTGAACAGTAATGAACAATGTCATGAACAGTGCTACATTGTATCGATGCACCAAAATTTCGAAGCAAAATTGTGCATTGATGCACTGCTACAGTGACTTTCGTAAAACGTTCATAAAACTCGTAAAAATTTAACCGTTCATTACTATACAATTGTCATTTACATAAACACGTTTAAAATATTACAAAACTCACTCGTATGACTTTTCAAAACCGATTAGAACATATCGGATTTAATCCTTTATTTATATGCCAACCACTTTCCTTATTACAAAATACATACTATATATTTTTTTTCTGATCTGATCTGATCTTTGGAAAGGAGAACATACATGTCTTGCATAACTCTTATCAATCTTTCTCTTCTCAGAACCTACGCGTGAAACAATTACACGCTAAGTCTACGACTTAGTGAGGCATATAAAACATATAATATAACCATATAACATTTCGTATAAACAAAATGTATACATCTGTAAATACTATCATTAATTAATCCCTTTTACTTACCATATATTCATCATATAACACATATATCATCATATAACACATATATCATTATACTAAGTAATAACATATCATCATGTAATTTCTATAACATGTTTTATATTACTAAATATACATATCACATATATCATTTCAAAATAGAACACACATCATATCATATCAAATGCATGAACAATTATTACGATCATATCATATAAAAGCATATATAATTTCTGGAACATATACCCACATGTACATATAATGTTCAGTATACTTATTAAATCTCCTTATTAACCCATGTACACTGTTGAGAACTTAAGGTATGTGAGTACATTGAGGTTGTGCACCACTATGCTGTCATCATATCTCGTATAAATATCCCGAATGACCAGTCCATAGATTCCGAAGAACCTAGGTAATAAATCCATATGTCCAGAAGAACATAGGTAAACAGTCCATATGTCCCGAAGAACATAGGTAAACAGTCCATATATCCCGAAGAACATAGGTAAACCCTCGACCCTTGACATGCCAACTATACCCCTAGCTCTCATATCACATAACAATGGCATTATCATTTATAACATTTCACATTTTCACATCACTTATTCATATCATTTCTCTTTTAAACACATATCTCTTCTTTTCTGTCACGTATCACATGTACTTGTAATCATTGATCGTATATCATATGACGTTCTCGTATATTCTCATTGCCACATAGTTCATATTACTTTGTATGTAATCACATAGATCATATCATTTCCCATGTTTTCATATAAGCACGTATGCCATGTCTTGTTTAAATATATTCATAACTATACATCAATCAGCATATAGAATAACATGTCAGACGTATCACATATACATGTATCACATAGTGCATATTCATGTAGATCATGTCATACATAATAACATATACTCATAATCATACAAATCATCACATCGATCATTAATCAAATAATATTTTAGTAGTCACTTGTTACCATAGTAACTCCATCATTGGCTCATCACAAGCCGATGTTTATTCAATACATAAGTACAAATTAAATTGCACTCACCTTAGCCTTGCCTGCTTTGATTCAATCCTAACTATTCGATTGTTCCTTAACTCGTTTAGGCTCGATATCTACATAAATATAATTTTCGATATGATTATCAAAAGTCTAAACCTTATAACTTGATGTTAATAACTCAAGCTAGTTTAATGAACCAAAATTTCATTTTTCCTTTAGGGGTGTATCGATGCACTATGGGTGCGTCGATACACAAAATAGCTTCGAACTCCCATGCATCGATGCACCCCTTAATGCATCGATGCACATTCAAAAATTATCTTAGTGCATCGGTACATACTCATAGTGTATCGATGCACCTGTCCAAAATAGCCCGAAATTCATCAATACTTCACCCAATTTTCATGTATAAAATCCTTATCATGCTACTACACTCATCTATAACAACTTTAACTAATTTCTATCATTCCAACACTTTATAATCTCCCATATTTCATCCAAAATCTTAAGGCTAAGAATCCTACCAAATTTTTCATGTTATCCAAACTTAATTCTAACACTTCTAACTTCTTATTCTCATAGATGACAAGTCAAATTCATCCTCCAAATTCATTTAAACCTTCTTATTCAAAATTCCACCTAAAACCCCATTTTCTTTAATATTTAGTAACTTCTTCATCTTTTGTTTTTAAGATAACTTAAGCTTTCCTTAAGCTTAGTTATCATCTAATGATCAAAACCCACTCTTAAAATTAACAAATAGTCAACAAAATATAAAAGTCACATTTGCTCTAGCTTGGGCACGTTAGAGAAGAGAAGAAGATGAAGAAGATAAGTTTGGAAACTTATCTCTTCACACATGCATCACATGGGTATTATAATACCCACTAAATTTTATTTAATTATTTTTCTTGTTCAATGACCTATTTACCCTTTGACTCTTTCAATAATTACTAACAACCCTTCAGGAAATACTTTCAAATAAATCATTGAACTTTTTAACTTTTCCACTTTAATCACCAAATTATGAAATTTTACAATTTGATCACTAACCCGTAGTTTGGGATGTTACATAAGCGCTAAATGATTCAAATGCTGAATGATTCAGAGGCTCTGTATGAATTAGTTCTGAATGTGACATGTTGTTTGATAATGGCTCTGAATCATTCAGAATGTACTTCTGTGCTGAATCAGTCAGCACTGAATCATTCAGAGGTGAGAAACAAACAGTATGAATATTGAACGGTTCAACATTCAGCGCTGAATGGTTCCATTCAAAGCCAAACAAACAACCCCTTAGCCTAGTATAGCCTCCTGTTTTGGCTTTCTTTTAATTAGAAAAAGAAAGAAAGACACATCCACAGTGCCACCTATGTTTATTACCTTTATATATAAAAGTCCACTGATCGTATTTAAACAAGTGTCATGAATTAATAAAAATATTTAGGGTAAATACATAAGATACCATTGAAATTTAGGCTCTGTATCATTTATATCATTGAATTTTCAGTTTCTCCCGATATAGCACTAAAGTTTGGTTTTGACTTCAATTATTCCACTGAGCATTAAATTCCAAATGTTTTGATGACATGGACAAAACAACCTCGTTTTAGTGCAACTGTTGATGTCTAAAATGATATCGTTTTAGGCACTGAACTTTACGACTATATTTATTTTGCTACTAAACTTTTAAACAATTTATTTTTTGGCCACCATCAACAACCAATCGTTGCTCGTCTTTCAGAACAAGATCGATATTAAAACATTCGTATTTCACTCATTTTTCTTTTTCTTGGATTAGTTTTTCACAAAACCTACTCAAAATCAACGAAATTAAATAAAAATTCTATAATTATTTTAGGGGTTTGGAGTGTTTGTTTAAAAATTTGAACAATTAGAAGTAATATTTCGAGAAGATGAACAACATACCTCAAAACTAGCCTCGTCAGATGTCCATCAAATTATTAACACACCAAACCTTTAAGTGGATTTTCTTCAACTTTGAGTGGGTTTTGTGGGAAACCAATCCTATGAGAATAAAGAGGAGTGAAATGAGAGCATTTTAATATCAATCTTGTTGTGAAAGATGACCTATGACAGGTGACGATTGGTTGTCTACGAAGATCGATGCATCCTTGAAGTGTAATGCCAAAAGTTGAATCTTTTTAAGATTTAGTAGCAAAAACAATACATACTTGGAGTTCAGTGATTAAAATGACATCATTTTGGGCATCAATAACTACACCTAAACGACATCATTTTGCTCACATCATCATAGTGACGAAAAGCATCCATTAATGTCATCGTGTCTTTAACATTTAATTGTCCAATGACATACTTGAAGTAAAAACCAAAGTTTAGTACTATAATCGAAGAAATTGAAAGTTCAATGTTATAAATGATTCACCACCTAAAATTTAGTACTATCTAGTGTAATTTACCTATATATTTAACCGTCTTCAACTATCTTCAGTCAAATTTGTATACGTGATTTTCTTCAGAAGGACCAACATATTCACCCTTAATGGTATATGGACATCTAGAGATTAATACCTTCTTATTTCTCCTATTGGCGGGAAAAGAAAAGAAAGGGATATTAACTTTAAAGCTTTGGTTTTTTTAGGGCCCAAACCCACTTGCTAGACACCAGCTTAATTTTGTCGTCAGTTAAAGCCCGCTTTGAAGATTTTAACAGCATATTAATTATATTTTTACAAAGTAATTATAACTGTTTTTAACAATAAAAAAACGGATAAAGTTTAAAACTATTCTATTCGTGGTTCATGAAGCATGGATCGGGGTTTTCACTTTGTTTGTTCTGGGTTTTTTCTCTCTATATTTGCGCTTTTACGAGTGTGTGATCAAAAAGTATTTAAAAGGTCATCAACAACCACACCCAAGGCCTAAACACCGAGAACTCACATCGGCCGATACACTGCCACGATTTATTATCTGTGTTGTATTAACGTTGATACCTTTTTTTTCAATTTTCTTAACTATGTTTAGTAAATAACTCAATTCCACTTTCGTAAACAATGATTATATTTATTACAAAAATTCCACTCATACCAGATACCCATCAAGTGAAATGATGTTGTTCTAAAAACAAATTAGATATTCAATCACTTAGAAAATCATGGTTTCCGACAAAAATCACAAATTTGATAAAACAATATAAATAATATAGGATATTAAATGAAGATGGATCAGAGTTCTGGCTTGGAATCTCTAACTAGTTAGAGAAAAAAGTAAATCGCACAGTTTGTTCAGCTTCGATCATCTGGGGAAATAATCATCACTTCCATCTTCACCTTCTAATTTATTTTAAAAGAAATATAAATTGAAAATAAAAATATAGGGGCATCTGAATGCATAAAACTCGAGGAAAGAGGAGCAAAATGCCAGAATCTCAACCCCAAATATGTATCGGCAACGTACAGCGCTGAAGTCGCTATTTTAATCTAAGCGCAACAGTGACTCTAATTTATTGCCTTTTCTTCTAATTTCTTTTCATTTAATTTGCACGTAAATTAAACACACACACACACAAACAATTCCCAGAAAATTATGCCTCAGAAAATAGAATTTGAATGAATACATCAGCAGAATTTAATCTCAGATGGTACGGACAAATTTGTGAACATCACTGGCAAACGATTTGAAAATATAAATCAGAATCGTACTCGTAAAAAACAAACTAAAATACTAAAAATAAGATAAATTAAAATGACGACAGAGTGAGACAAAATTTAAACAAACCCCATCGAAAAAACGTCGACCGCCTCGGTATCTCGGATTGTAGGAGAGGGTGCTGTGTATAAATAGAGAAGACGAATAGAGATGGAAGAGATATGAGAAACCCTAATTCACTAGAGCTGGTTCGAATTACATCGCTGACCTTTATGAGTAGACGAAACTACAAGACTAGCCTTATCAAAATGGACATTTTTCATTTCATCCTTGACAGGCCTAGGATCAGAAAAATAACAAACAAAACGGGCCTACCAAGCCCGTCAATTATTTGATCGCGTGAGAAAAATCATATCTACTGAATTAAGGCTGCGTGATAAGGTAAAAGATAACTAATTCTTGAAAGGACTATTATTATATAGTGGCATAATTTGGCTTAAAATTTTTAAAAGTTTTGAAGTGTTCGGTTTGCATTTTTTTAAAAATTGGGTTCTAACTAAAATTTTTGAAATTTTAAGAGGCTTAATGAGAAATTTTAAAAATCATAGGAGGGGATTTATTGAGAATATTCAAAAAATTTAAATTTTAATATGAATTTCTAAAACTTTGAAGTGGACTAAATTAAATATTATAAAAATTTTAAAGGTCTAAATTGTAATTTTCAAAATTTTGGGAGTCGTGGCCCCCACTAGCCTCACTTAATTACACCGTTGCTATTATAAATATTAAAAAACAACATATCGAATAGCACGAATAAACGACTTCGGTAGTAAATGAACTGTTATTGTTATATTTTGAAGTCTTGAGTTTAAGTACCATAAATGTAAGAGGTATAAGTGTTCAATATCAAATTGTTTAAAGTTATATTTAAATATATATTACTTTGTATTTATCTCATATTAATAATAATGAAAAGGCTTAAATATACAAAAGGTGTACAACCTATGTCTGTTTTTCCATTTTATTACCTAACATTTATTTCGTTTTAGTTGGGTGCCTAACGTTTCATTCCGTTACTCAAAATGGGTCAAGTCGTCAACGACATTAATTTTCTCCATTAAAGTGACTCGTGTCACAATCTCATAATTTTTAAAAATTTATATAAATTAAAAAAAATTATATATATATTTTAAAAAGAAAAAAAATAAATTTTGAAATAACCTCAAAACTTTGAAAACCTTCATTTCAACCCCTAAACCCACACCGATCGCTGCCTTTTGCCATCGACGAAGCTCCACCCGACCTCACCTCCCCCTGGCAACCAAAACCCCTATGAAATCGTGATTGATCAAGGCTGATCGACGGTGAATTGACGTTTTATACCCCGCGAACCCTAGGATGAATATCGCAATCCCAAGCGATTTCGACAACCAATCGACGACAACTACGATGACTTATAACTAGGATGATGACAAATTCTATGTCGGCGACGGTAGTCGTAGCCGAAAAGGGCGGAGGCGGCGGGTTAGTGCTAGGATTTGGAGATTTTAGGGATTTTGAGATTTTTTGTAAATTAAAAGAAATAAGGGTTCTTTTTTTATAAATATCATAATATTTTTAATATTTTAAAAAAATAAATTTTAAAATTACGAGATAGTAACATGTGTCACTTAACAGAGATAATTAACGGTCCGTTACGACTTGACTTATTTTGAGTAACGGAATAAAACATTAGGTACCAAACTGGACTGAAAAAATGAGCATAAGTGGGACACCTTTTGTATACTAAATAAAAAAAAACATGTCGAATAAGGTAAAAGACAACTAATTTCAAATAACAAAGAACACGTGATAATCCTCTTTTTGCTTTTCTTACTTATATTTAAGGTTACAAAAAAGTAGTTTTGATCATCAAAATTAAGAATCCAAGCATTTCACACAAAAACTATAATATTAATAATTTGTATGAAAAAAAGGGAAAAGAAACGCAAACAATAGGCTAGTCTTCTTGAAGATATAGAATGGAAACATCTAGTTTCATGGTGATGACGATGGCTTTTTGGGTTTGTTCTCCAGCGGATGCATGCCGTTATCGACATCGATGTGAACGAAAGCTCTTTCCACTTCGGGGAGTTGTTCGAGCTTGTATTTAAGAGACTGTCCGATATTATGAGATTGTGAAAGGGACATGTCCTCAGCCAAAACTATGTGAACCTCCACGAAGTAGTGAGAACCAAAGGTGTAGCCTCTAACCGTCTCGATGTGTCTAATCTCTTCACGGTGGTTCCAAATCAAGTATGTCAGCTTCGCTAAATACTCCGGCGGCGCTGTTGTCCCGATCAAGCCCCATACGTTGTCAATCACCGTGTTCGCCCAATTCCCCATTGTGTACAATGCTATCTGCAAAGTGCAGACAATGACATTGAAGCAAAGAGTCAGCATGTATAATAACAACTTGAAGGTGTAGGTATATGTAACATGAACTAACAAGAATTGCCCCAAGAGGATCAATCCACCAGTAGAATTTGATGGCTAAAACGGCAGTGCCTAGACCGATCGAGTTAGTGATAACGTCGAAGAAATGATCCTGCGCGTACGCCTTGATGATTTCGTTATCGAATCTCCGACAATATATCAGGAGCACTAGTTTTACTACCGTCACTGATACCATAATCCCGATCATCCATTTTTCTTTCACAGGATCCCTATCAGGTTGTGCCTGCAATTCATCATCAGAAGACCCAAAAGTTGAAGGTTTATGCTTCTTTTTTTAGTCCAAACCTTCTTCTTTCTGAAATTAAATTTCAATTGCTTGAACAAACCTTGATGATCAGTTCTCGACCTGATTCAAACAGTATTTGCAATCCAAGCGTAGTCATTACGGATGCAAAAACAATAATTCCCTGCAACACCTCATACAAATAAAGTTAAAACATATAGATAATCCCACATGACAAAACATCATGCTCATGCCACCTAACTTTGAAGTCCCAGAAGGCATGATTCATGAAGTTGACTGCAATTATACGTGTGTAAGTGCGTGCATGTGCACGTATTGGACCAGGAACCGATATGTGTATATTTGCATATACATGGACCATGTCAACATTTAATCCAAAGTATATTCTAAATTTAAGGATTTCTTTTTTTATTTTTATTTCTTTTGCTGAGGAAAACAAAGACTTACAACTGGTTGCATCCTGTTTTTGCCAATAGGATAACGATACTGGTTTGGTTTTCTCATAGCATAAGCAGTAAACCACAAAATAAAGCCTGACAAGAGATCCAGCAAAGAGTCCAAGGTTGATGCTATCACTGCCAATGATCTACTCATAACAGATGCATAAACTTTTGCCAGGAAAAGCACAAAATTCGCCACATTCGATGCATATATCGCCACCCTCTCATTCCTAACCAGCTGCCTCGTTTCCTCCTGCAGACATATAAGTGTATGCATTTGGGAAGCTCATTTCACCATAATCAAAATGCAATAAAAACAAACCTCAGACAAACTCCCCGGCAGGATTCCCAATTCATTAAATGTGTCGATTTCGTTGTACCCTTTGAGAAGCACTTCCTGTCTCTTGTAATACTCTGAAAGTCTCCTTTGTCTCCCTGAAAGAAAAAGGTAAGTTTATTGCAAAATATTGAGTACTAAGCTAAAGCATGGGAACTGCAGCATGGGAATCTGGTATAAACGAGACTGGATTTGCTTACTGAAGGCCTTGATATAATATCCGAGGCGAAAACACGAAGACTCCGTACTTGTCTCTGGAAGGTGGAACTTATCCATGTTGAGTCGCCAAGATTGTTCGCTCGCCATTGTTACATGATTCTCCCCTACTGGAGTCGGTGACAGAAGCTCTGCTCGGTAGTCCGATGAATCTGTTCGAAGGTTGTTCGCAAATTTTACTCCGTTTGCCATTTTTACTGCAACAACTGATGTCTTGGAAGGGAAGGAACAAGTATCAGTCTTATAGGGACAAAATTCGCATACGGTTGTAGGGATATCAAAGCAAAATTCAAATTCAACTGCTCCACTTACAGAAAGCACAAAGGGTTTAGTATATAAATCAATGGAGGAGAGCATGAAGAATGTTGTTTTGATCCTTTTTTTCTAGCAGCAACCACATCGCTTCAGTTATATTCTTTTTTTTTTCCTTTAATGATATTAAATTGTGTATAAAGTTGACGATGTCGCCAAGTATCATCTCCTTGAGGGTAAATTGGACATTTCAAGTATGAAAGAATCCTATTTTTGGAATATGGTTTCTTTTACACACCTGCATAAAAAAATGGTGAACTCGTTCACGTAGAAATATCAAAGATTGATAAGGTTTAGCCTTAGACCCTCAATTCCTACAGGTACCATCCATGTATATTACTAAGATTTGTGTAAGTATTGTCTATATGGCCCTGGTTTTAGTATTTTTTTTAATGATGATGGTGAACTTTGTTGGTAATTATTGGAGATATCTTGTTAGCTAAGCCAGCGAGGTGCTCTGCTAAAAGATACACGAGGCCCAAATTATTTTCTTAAAAAGTTTTAAATTTCTACTGAAAATTTATAATCAGAATTCATTATTATAAATAATTATTTTAATTTCAATAAATAACAATAATACAATTATTATCAAAATCAACGTGATAGCCCAGCGGCAAACACTTATGTTTTGAATCTATTTTTGAAGTAGATTACAGTTTGGACCGACATATAGGCAAATTGTAGATGTGACTAACATTATTTTTCAATTAATAATAATTATTAATTTTATTGAATAATATTTAAAATAAATTAAATTTATTCAATAAAATTAAATCACGTTAACTGATTTTTAAAATCATCAAAATATACACACTAACCACAAAGAATAAAATAAAATCATATAAGAAAAGAATAAGAAATTCAATAGTGAAAATAAAATCATTAACCCTAATTTAAAAATACATGTAATAATGAAAACGAATTGATACACTAACTTTATCACAGCTTAACTCTAACCTGTTTTTTTATAATTACAAACATTTATCAATAAAAGATAATGAATTCGAAGGTCTAAATTAGAGTAAATCAATAAGATAATTAAATAAGCGTTAAATAGAGAAACGACGTCAATAGAAAAAAATGTCTATATAAAATAACATGTAAAAGCAGACAAAACCATCTAAAGAGTAAAGAGAAGGGCTTTTCATAACACCACAGGCTTAAGCCTGACAATTTTAAAAATTGTCACGTTAAAAAGAGGTGCTACTAATATATTTTTATCAATAAACTAACCACAAACGGAAGTACAGCACAAAAACATATGATGAAGAGTACAAAAGAGAGGATCCGATTTCTCTACAGGAAAATGCATTAGAAGAGTTGGGGCAATACCCAACTGACATATCACTAGGAAAAATAGCTGCCCCAAACCTAAGTTGGGGAAATGCAACGCATCAAAAAAGAAATAAGTGTTGGGGCAACACGGTGAGAATGATGACCAACCATCCAGCAGACAGGATATTCAAGATAGCAGTTTTCAATTCAAATAAAAACTAATGGTCATTGCCAACATATTGTTCTTTAAATTTATAAAATAAAAATTCAAATCTCAATATGCCGAAAAGAAAAATAATTAAGACTCTTTTCAAACTGCTACATTTCAGCAACATGAAAAACGTTGATTGAAATTTCTCAGATGGCAACTGCAATCCTTCCAGCCACTTGGTCCATATCCCGCTGGCCATTTGATGTGATTCTCCTACCACTGATACATAGAGGATAAATTTTAGTTGATATTAACAATGACAGATGATAGTAATGTGCAATTCTAATCATTATTCTACTTATTTTATCCATTACTCACACTCCAAGGTGACAAATACCTTTTTTTCTATATATAATCAATGGTTCTATTTATAATGCTGTCAGCTCAATTGTATCTTGCAGGAATATTAAAACCTTCATGGCAGTGTTACACCAGTCTCAAAGTAATCTTTACTAACACTATTTTCTGTTGGTTTTGTTCTCTAATTTTCTAGCACATGGCATATGACACCTGAAATCTATCATTCAAATCATATTCTACCATCTTGCTCGGATCCTAAAAATTAGATAAATTTGGGTAAAAAGTTATTTTGGATAAAATTATGTAAGAGGTTTTGTTTTTTGTTTTCTAAATAAAGCGTCTGCACTTCATATTTCAACTTTCCTTCAAATATATCAATGCTGTTTTACACACGCGGCTGCATTCTTATAAACATAGCTACTCAATTGAAGAATTGTTACTTTGCAAATAAATATTTTCGCTAGCACTATGTTCTTTCACTTAGTGGAAACAACCATCTTCACATTTGCCATTACACCCAGGAGTTATAAATTTAAAACAAATTAATAGAACAGAAAACCCACCCTTTAGGATCAATGTTAACGATGTTGATATTCTCCAATTCCTGGAGAATGTGTCGAGCAACAGAACCACTGCTCTTGCAGAAATGGCGGGGACGACTTCCATTTCTCTTAGCCGCTCCATAAATCCTTCTAAAGGCACCAACACCAAGACCTCCCCTCAAGTATATTTTCCTAGCCATGGAAGCTACAAAACAACACAATATATCGCTCATAAGAAAGTATACAATGATTAATTAGTCTTAATATGGAAAACGAATGCACATACCAGCTCTGACATAGTACCAATCAGGGTCATAGGGAGGAAGCTCCTTCAGTTTACCAGTCTTCACAATATCAGTCCATGGTGGAAGTTCAATCTGGTTTTTCTCGATTTGAAGAGAGAAAACGAACCACGTTAAAAAAGTAGTTAAATTTAATATACATTTGTAGAGAGTGTTAAACATAAAGATTTCAACATAAGTTAATAAATTAAGAAAAGGCCCTAATTTCCATCTCTAACTAATCAAAAAGCGAGGATTTTCTGGAAAAACAAGTACCTTGCCGGAGCGCTTGAGATGGGCAGCGTAAGCCTTGACAAATTCGTGGGGGGAAACGTCCTTAACAGTTCTTGCTGCCTCCATTTTCACTCTTTTTATGATATCTACCGCTGCAGCGATCACTCCTTTCGCAGCTTGCGATACGTGTTTCCGGCAGATCGGTAGAAGGAAAACACACACACTATATATATAACGAATTAGGGTTTGATGTTGCTCTTCCGCCTCTCTTCACTAAACTGCCTATATAACCTTCCCTATTTCCCCCCATTTTCCTCTATTTCATTCTAGAGGTATTATGGGCCGGGCTAAACCTAAGCCTGATTCTAAATAAATTCTAAGCTCGGACCGTTTCAACTAATCCAAATTATTCCTTTTTTTAAAAAAATAAATATAAAATTTAAAATAATCATTTTGTATTAATATTTATATGTTTAATAAGAAATGACCATCCAGCCCAGTTGGTAGAGCACAAGATTCTTAACCTTGAGGTCGTGGGATCGAGTCCTACGGAGGGTATTTCATAATTCGGTGGTCTCTTACGGAAGCTGCTCTCAATCTGGTGTTGGGGTAGCCTACTATCTTACCTTCCCCTTACCCCATACATATGGGAAAAAAGGGACAGCCATTTATATGTTTAATAATTCAATTTAAATAAGAACATATTTTTAAAAACATAAAATTTATTTGTATCGAACAAACTAAACGATTAACAATCTTTACTATAACTAAATTAAATAAACATATATATATATATTATAAACAAATCTAACCCTAAATAATCAATATTAAAAATTTTGAGGCTCACTCTAAATGATAAAGAATAATTTTTTATTAAACATATTACAAAGGAAAACATAGATTTTGAACCTATTGAATGATTTAAATGATTAAAGAGAATATTATTTTCTTTAAAAGATTTATATTCAAATAACCATGTCTTTAGAATATATATTATCAATTTACTAATAAAAGTATAATTTTTCTAAAGTCACAAATATAAATTGTGATTATTCCTATAAAAAAATAAATTATATTTTTATTTAATTTTTTCATTTTTACAATGTAGAAAATAAATATTTTATACTTAAAATAATAAAAATAGCTTAAAATACTTTATAAACACTATTGATTTATTTTTATTATTTGAAATAATTTTGAAAATATTTGTATAAAAAAGTAAAATTTACTAAATAAAGCTATTAAATAAAGTCAAGAATTTCTTAGTCCTAAATTATTCCAGACTTTAAAAAACATCAATATAAATTATTATTTAAATATTTTATAATTAAATAAAAATAAAAATAATATTAACTAGTAAACAACAATTCAGAAAACCAGTTAAAAAGAATGCTTGTTCAAATAGGATCCAATACAAACAGAAGGCAACGAAATAAACGGATAACCTGACGCCTTCAACATTGTATCTGTTGAAGGAAGGAAAGAAGCTGATTTGTGAACAGAGCGATGCAAATGCCAAGTGTCGTGCTTTGCAAATGAATCCATTTGTCCAACACCACTTTCTTCTATTTCAATACCCTCGTAAACCAAAAAAAAATTCCTTCTCTAAAATCTCTACTTATCCATTTCTCCATTTTATCTCTTCTTTCTTCCTTCCCATTCTCTTCTCTTCGGTTTATGGTACTATTATTATTATTGTTTCATATTTCCTTATATTAAGCTGGTATTGCTTCTTTCTTTATATTTCCTTGCATGCATGTAACTGTATATGTGTTCCCTTTATGTTTTCTTGTTTATCCTTTTGTTTTTCTGCATTTAACATCAACTTTTGAATTTGATCGTGTACGTTTTTTCTTCCTTTCCCTTCCATATTATTTGTTTCATTGGAATTTGTTGATAGCAATGTTTCTGTTTTTTCTGTTGGATTTGAAATTTTGTTTAGAATCTTGGGTATCTTGAATTTGTTTAGAGGAAAAAATGGGTTTTCCTGCTTTTGATCGGATAAACAATCTTTCCATGATTGTTTCTTTGATTCTTTGTCTTGTAGTTTAAAATTCACACATAGTGTTTCTGATTTAAGTGCTTTGGTAATGCAAATTGCCAGTTTCCAAGTGCACTTTGCGATCATTTTCCCTATCGGCAAACTGTTCTACGCCATCATTGGTGTTTTACTTTGATGCATCAATCTTTATGTTCTCTAAATTTATGACGATGTAATCCGTTGTGGTCTCAAAGGCCGGTCTTTAAAGGAAATACATTTTTCATAGTTCCATTTCCTTGCATACTGTGGGATGCTTATATCGATTAATACAGGAGTTTTAATCGAACCCGATGCTGTTGAGCAGCCCAGCCACGATGGTCAGCTTCAAATATTGGGATGAGTGTGTTGATCCTGAGGATTTGGAAGCAATGTGGAATCAACATGCTGTGAGAAAAGAGTGGACTAATGTTGGGGAGACTCAAGGACAAAAAGTTCACCTATCAAGGGATCCCGATGGGCAGCCTTATTTGACACAAACAGAGATGAGGGTAGGCAACTCGATTAACATATCATCAATTCTTTTCTGCATTTGAAATTTTGAGAAGTTTAACCTCAGTAAGTAGTTTTTGATAAAGTTCCAATGGATAAGAAGTCAGAATTTCTTTTATAACATTTTATCTTCCATAAGTAATCTTGTTTGGTGGTCAGATTTGATCATACAAAACATTAGGATGATTCAGTAATTTTCTTTGTTTACTCCTATACAAGATTTTACTTCTAATTTATCTTATGCTGCTGTTTCAGGCTGTTGCGGAAATCGTAACTAGCAGACATTTTGATACACATATAGAGCCGGTATGTCAACTATCACCGAAACATCTAGCCTGTACTTATGATGAAGTATTTCTTGCTTCATTCTAATTTATGATACCGCTTTTAAGATTAAAAGTATCCAAACTTATTGATTTTAGTTTCATCTTACCAATCTACAGGGAATGACTTTTCTGATGACATGAATGTACGAAATTCTCGAAATCTATATAATACAAGTTATTAACATATCAAAATTTATATAAATATAAAATACCTTAACACGATTATGACACCACAAAATACAAGAAAATGACACTAGATAGATGAATTGCCAGGTTTTCAAATCTATCCTTTTTATAAGAGACTTTTCCATTTCTCTCTCTCTCCCCTTCCTCTATATTTGTTTGATTGGCCCTGTATGGTAGCTTTGTCCAAGCTATAGGCTTTGACCATTTATTTCAAGCAAATAAAGAGTTAAACTTTAATAATGTGTGTATTGTACTGTACTTAATTCAAGTTCTACACATAGCATAACTAATTACTTATATTTAACAAAGGCTGCTTCAATCAGCTACCAGATAGTTGGTCTGCATATGCTCCACTAAGAACATATACTACATCTTGAATAATCTGTAGAAGATTTGAAGTTATTATACTTCTAATTATTAAAGTTTGGGATTTTTTTCCACTGCTCTGCAGGAGATGATTTCTGCTATTGCAGAACTTGAAAGTAATAGACAGCCTCTTGCCATGCAATATGATAAGAAAGCCAAGGTCACTACAGTAGGAATCATGCAGATTTGCCCAACAACTGCAGAGTGGTTGGTCAGGTACAATTTTATATTTTCTAGTGTAGCTGCACTGGAATTAAGCTAACCCTGCTTTGGATTATGAAGTTCTAGTTTGAAAATTCCTGTAGGGAATGTCATATTTCATTATACAAAGTTGAAGAGGATCTGGATATTCTATATAGGCCTTTTGTAAATGTATATTTGGGAGCAACCTACCTTAAATGGTTATCAAACTTCGAAAACAAGTGAGTTTTCAGGGAAGAACTTGGATCCATCTTGAATATTTTATGAGGTAAATAATGTGGTTTCATTTCTCTTGTTGGTTCTGAATTTGCAGAGTTAGAACTGAAGAGTTTATCATCCGTGCTTATAAGGGTGGTACAAAGAAAGCAACTCATAAATCAACCCTACCATATTGGAAGCGTTATCTTTCGGTGAAAGAAACTTCTACACCCAGGTTTTATACTCCCCATGAAAGTTTTTGTTTGAATATCAAAATTTACCAAGTACTTCTTGAATTTAAACAAAACTTGAACTGTTGGTGGCATGTTTAGATCATATGTATTTTCTCTATGAACACTGTCCTAGTCCAGCCTCACGTCCATTTTTTGGGCCAGATCATCTGTCAGTGAGGTTAACATCTAGACAAGTCTTTTTTGCCTGAAATTTGAGTTTCCTCTTCACTTTAGTATATCTTGTTTAGCTTCTGAAGAGCACCAAAACTTTGCCACCTTGCAAAGCAGATTTCAACCAGTGGAAGGCTATGTTAATAGAACTAATGTATTGGTTTTCGTTTGTTATTAGGTACAGAAAACATTCTGATGCTCCTCCAATTACTCGAACACTAAATTCAACTACTGCACCAGTTTCAATAGATTCAGGTGGTTGTCCCTCTCTCATTTACTCAAGGTTATTTAATGTAATTTTGAGGAGCATATATTTTCATGTTATCTCATAAAAGAAAATTTACTTTCATCTACTCGAGTAGCAGGAAAAATATTAGTGGTAATGTATCAAAGGCTTTACCAATTTAGTTCATATTTAGTTGTGCTACCTTGTTAAGAAAGCAATATACCCAATATATACATCCATCTCTTTTTGAAATGAAGTAGGAAAATTTGTGCCACCTCTATGGTTTCTCATTCACAGATTAACTGTTAGATTTTGTACCGTTTTGAGTTTCATGAAGTAAAACTTGGACCTAAAGAAATCAAGTAGTGAAATAGTAATGATGTGGTAAACTTTAAAAACTTGCAAGAATAACATCTATACATAATCTTGTAAATTCAACATTTGATTTGTTGAAATGGAGAACATAAAATTTAGGGGAATTTATCTCTATCCTTTCGGAACACTGTCTTCTACCTTTTCGTTTATGCCTTTTTTCTTTTTGGGGGGCTGCAGAGGATGATTGCCTATATTGGGACTCCAGAGTTTACCCAGAAGACATGAAACAGATGTGGAATTGTCATGAAATCTGCAACGAGTGGAATAAAGCTAATCAAAAAAGGGGAAAGGTGCTATTTACCCTTGATAATGAGAAGAAACCATGTCTTACTCGACTCGAACTGAAGGTATGAATCCGGAAAAGATAACTATGCTGTCAATATACTACTTTCATCACGGTTTCAGAATAAGTGCATTTTCCCTCCTTTTTGACATTTTATCAATAGTGAAAATAATTATCATTACTTTTTCAAGTGTTAGAATTTATGTATAAGTTATTACTTTCTTGTGCCAAAACGCAAATATCATAGGATAAGGTTCAAAACTGTGAGTAAAAGCATGCTCAAAAAGAACCTTGCACTCATGAGTCTGGAAATTTTGCTGATCCTGGTGATGATATACCAAACCAAATGTACATAATCAATTTGAACGTAAATGAATATAAAAATGGAAAAAAAAAATACTTGACATGCAGCTATATTATTACGTTAAGTAGTTTATGGTTATTCATTAACAGGTCATATGCATGTAAAGAGATATTGCTGCCTTTTAATTTTGCCAGGAGTGTTCTTTCATTTTGCATTTCATCTATATCATAAACGTTTCTTTTTCTGGAACCATTGACATGGATGTCCTGTTGCAGACAGTGGCAGAAACGATTGTTTCCCGGTACTTCAGTACAAAGGGAATAAAACCAGTAAGTATGGAGTCTGTTACAGAATGTTGTCATAAAAAAATCGATTTTTACCCAGCTGCTAATATTTTGTTTTATGTTCATTCTCCCCCCCCCCCACAATAACGACTGTTTTACTGGATATTTTCGACATTGTTTACCATAGCTCATCTGTTCTGCCAGCCTATTAAATTAGAGACAAAGCCAAGAGTGGTTCATACACAATTTAGCACTAGAATTTCTGATTAGTCTGTCTACACATGCTCTTGATGCCTCCAAAAATTTGAAAGAAAGCAAGAATAACTTCTTATGTAAGTTCATAGTGCTATATTACGGGCGATTAGGTATGTTTTTACCAGCAAAATCTGTGATATCCACAATTTGCCTTTTATATCTGAAAACTATTATTTAGTATATTGGTCCCAGTAGGAGAGAAAGAAATGATACGGAATATGAAGCTGTTTAACCACCTTTTTTTTCTTATTTGAGCTTGCTTATCAAGCTGTATTCTCCTATGATGTTTGGACATGTAAAACATACACCTTCACTTACAAAAGCATGTAAACGTGAATGAAAACAAGTAGGAAAAAACAAATAGATGGATTCCGGATCAAGTTGAATGATGGAATTGGTTGTGTCGTCGACTCTTAAGGAGTTTGGGATTGATGTTTACTTGAATTATCTTAAATACATATACTGCAACTGAACTTATATGTTTTATGCACTTACTTCTGCTATATTGTTGTATTTTTGCTTTCTTCTTCTTTGTTCTGACTCTTACATTTTGTACAGTCAGTACTTTGTGCTCTGGCAGAGATGGTTAGCATGCGCTACATAGACGGGATCGAAGGACGAATTGGACTAATGGGAATTGACTACTCCACATCTTTTCGGCTTTATACGTGAGTGAGATCCTAAATGAAACTTCTAACTATCAATTTACAGCAATGATCAAATGTCTGAAACGTGTAATTTTCATGTGAAGAGAATTGGGGTTCAGGGATTATCCGGTTGATTACGTAGAAGATCTGACCAAACCATTTGTGTCCATGTATTTCGGCACGGCATATTTTTCTTGGTTATCGATGTATGAAGGGAGGTAGGTTTGTTCCCCCTATAATGAATTTTAATGTAGCCTGAATGATTTATTCCATGGCCTTAAAGTTGTGGCATTTTCCTGGGATGGAAAAACAGCGAAAGGAATCTGCAATTTACCATTCAGGCTTATATATCCGGACCGGAAAAGGTAAATCTTGAAGCGAAATGTCCGCACTGGGAGAAATTCGAGCAAGCTTTGACAATGTATAATATGCGAGACAGGTATGTACGTACAATTTATAATTATCGCTTTAACAAATGGAATCGTATGTATGTTCCCTCGAGTGACTTTGCTATATTGTCATCGCCATTGATGTTTTCTTCTTCAGGAACGGAGGGAGGTGCACCGTCATGTGACCTGATGGATATGATTATCATCTGATCAGAGCAGCTTTCTTCTTCAGAAACCTTTTATTGTTTATGATTATTTCCGACGATTTTTCATTTTTCGTCGGAAAAAGGTTTAAACTTGTAAGAAATCATCTTTTCCAACAGAACGCTTTCGTTGGTAATGTTTTTTTTTTTGGGTAATATGCTGAGGGCGGAAATACGGGTTCTGTAAAATTAATTAATTAATTTTCACAATTTATTATAAAAGGGGGTAATTTAATTTATTTTGTTCGAAAATTCTATTTATTTTGCCTTTGCCATTTGCCTTGACAAATAGGAAGAAGCAACATGAGACTGTTTATTATCGAACATTTGGTCCACACGGAAATTATTCCAACATCACTTGCATGTTCACAGAAGAACTCGAGAGAAAACGCTCAAAAAACACAGCACATTTGCAAGCTCTCGGCTTGCTTGCTTTAGTCCAACAAGTCCAACGGGTTAAACATACAAGATTTCATCATCATCATCTAATATCCTCCCCGTATGAAAGCGTTCAAGCGGTCCAGCTCTGCACGGTGCTCGCTCACCACAGCACGAACAACATCTCCGATGGAAACCATGCCGATCATTTCCCTCTCATTGATCACCGGAATGTGTCTAATACGGTTTTCTGCCAAAATACCATAGGTTAGTACTAGCTCGACAAGGAACATTGTAATGAACACAAAGAACATATATCGTAGATGGCCGCAGATCATATTACCTGTCATCAGTTGCATTGCTTGCAGAACTTTGGTCTCAGGTGTGACCGTGATGAGCTTGTTCTACAACCACCATATAATATGATCTTAAAATTTCAAAAATGAGCAATGTAATATATGTACATCTAAAAGATCAGCCATATATGATGCAAGTAAACTTATAAATTTACTCGAATAAAAGCCAAAAAGAAAAACAATACCTCTTCAGTCATGATGTCCCCAACTTTAGTTGACTTGGATGATCTTCCATGTACTATTATCTTCCTAAGATAATCTGAAAGTATAACATAAAATAGAAGAAATAAACCAATAATCAAAACTGTACCAGACCACAGAATAATTCAAAATCTCTTCTTGATGATTAAGAAATGCAAAATGAAGCAAACTATAATCTTAGGAAGGAATTTGATGGGCACCCTAATTTTGGTATATACAATGCTCAAGAAAAGGGCAGCATGTGATTGTTTGACATGAAAAAGCTGAAGGAAAAATCCACACCAAAATAAAGGCAATAAATGCATTCAATGGCAAAGGTGAAAGGTACATTGGGATGGCACAAGCCAACTATCAACATGATTTAGCTCGTAGGTTTTGAAATCTACTTTACTCAGACCTTAATTTTGTCTGATTCAGACCATCTAAAACGCAACAAATAACACAAAACTCCTAGCATAGGTAGCTATGTTACTCAAACTCAAGTGTTAGTGTCAGATACATGTGTCTAGCACAAGCATATGCTCAATTTGTCTGAAGTTTTGTTCATGATTTGGACGAACCATTAAGGATCATATCCCATACCCATATCTGAATATCTGTTGAACTTGTCTGTTAGACACAAGTATTTCAAAAGAAAAAAATTAAGTCGGTACAACACAAATAAGTAGATTCAGAAACTTGTAAATGCCTGTAGATCATGAGAAATACTCAATTCATCATTCATTCAAAATTCAAAATCTTGGTGCCAAATTGATTTTATCAGGGTGTACATGTTAACTACCTCTCTCTGTGATGATACCCGCAATTGATTTCTTCTCTCCAGGTTTTACAACCACCAAGGCACCGACATTGTGTTGGGTCATCTGAAAAAGATTTAACTAAATAAGCACGCAAATCAAGTATTCTATGAAAAAGCTGAGAATCTACAAAAATCGTAAAGACACTTACCGACTTCACAGCATCGTACACAGTGTCATCTGTAGTGCACCAAAGCCAGGAGCCATCTGCACCTTTACCTTTGGCTTTCAAAACGTCAAAAATAGTCGTGCTCTCAAAGCCATGTTCTTCCATAGTAGCAGATGAAAATGATCTGGAAACAGTAACCGGTCGCATAACCGGGTTGACAATCAGAATACGACGCAAGACCGCATTTTTCACAGTATTTCCATGAACCGTAAAAGCTTGAACTGCCCGTTGCATTCTACCTATTACAACTGATCAGTTAAAAATCAAGCAGAGAAATTGTTGCAGTTGCAGATGTCACAAAACAATCGTCATTCAAATGTCCCATCGACCGAAACAATTCAAATGGCAACACATAACTTGATACAACATCTTTCATGCTAGAAAGTTGCCAAAAAAAAGCATTCTATTATTCTAACAATAAGATTCCTCGAATTTCAGCTCAAAGAGTTAAGGAGATTCAAGTTACATGGATCATTCTTCGAAGTTGTAATTGAAAAACAAGGATATATCTCAGCTTAAACAAAGAAGATCCACCATCGAAACAATCGGAAACAGATCTTAACAGTATCGAAAGTAAATCAAAAGGCAGAAACAACCCAAAAAAGAGGTCAAAATTTCAATAATCAAACTGCAATCTAAAGCCTAAACTTAGAAAGAAATGATGGGTTAGAAGAGAGGAGGAAAGAACGAACCTGGATTGAAGAGAAACAAAAGCAGGGTAAACCCAGAAAGTTGAGGGATAATGAACCCTAGAAAAGCGGTTTAGGAGCGTTTTAACCACCGCAATAAACAGATAAACCCAACTACGACATTCCGCACAGCCTCGCAGTGCAGTGTTTAGTACTCATTTTCAGACACCAAGGATAGCGCTACGGACAATACAAATGATTCTAAGAATTGAATTAAACAAGGGTAAACTATAAGATTGGTCATTTATGTTTTGATTTTGTTCACTTTTGATCATTGATTATAAAAAACATTTTTATAATTTACATTATTAATTTTTTTTATATTTTAATCATTAATTATCAATTTAACTCAAAAAGCAAAAAGTAGCACTCTTCTATCATCTCTTACCTAAAAGACGAAAAAAAAATTAAATCAAAGAGTATAAAAAAGGTAATTTCAATATAATTTAATCATGTCATCTGATAATATTATAATTTGAATTGAATAATATTTTATAAAAAAATTAATTGCAAAATAATTTTTAATTGATGGTTTCTATGAAAATTTCATGAACAAATATTTTAAAAAATTAGTAGATGTTTTCATAATAAAATCAATGCAATTATCATATATAAATGAGTAAAAGATTATATGATGAGAGAGTTCGTAATTAGAGAAGAAAAAAGAAAGATCAAGAAAAAAAATCAACAAGAGAAAGTTATGAGATAATTTCATTTATTATCTTAGAAATGAATAAGAGAAAGTTTAAACTTTGTAAAGTTGAATATTAAATTATAAATTATAAATTATTTTAATTAATATATCACATTATTATTATAGTTATATTAATAATTTGATGAATAAAATTTAATTAATCAATAATATAATCATTATAATGATTTTAATAATTTAATGAACAAAATATAATAAAATAAGTAATCGAAATATAATAAATTAATAAAATATAATTATCTTTTTGAAAGGGGTTGATTTTTTGCAAATGGAGGCCAATGGAATTTGTAGCTGGTTATGGAAAAAGCTACACTGAAACTTAGAGCGGTCCTCCCTGTTCGTATGTTTACTACTCTTAATCTTGTGACTGGAAAGTTATAGGATATGATTAGAACCAGGAAGGAGAATGTTTCTTGGCATAGGTTGGTTTGGCACACCTTCCATAGTCCTAGGTACTCGGTGATGTCATAGATGATTATTTTGAATAAATTACGTACGAGAGATAGACTTGTTGCTTCTGATATCCAGGTTGAGATAGAATGTATGCTATGTGATGATGGTCAGGAATCTAGGGACCATATTTTTTTATATTGCCCCTTTTTAAAAAAATGTTTGGTTGGGGTCGAGGGCTTGCAATTTGTCTAGGAGGGTTATAAATTGGAATGTTGAGTTGAGTTGAGTTGAGTTGAGTTGAATTGGGCTACAATAGTAGAAAAAGGCCTCCCTAAGCATGTTTAGGGGGATGTCTCTTGAGGGCACATCTGTTGCGGAAGACGGCTATCGGATAGAGCAAAATCGCAACTGATAATTTGAGAAAATAAAAATGAAGATAAAAGAGACACACAATTTACGTGGAAAACCCCTAAAGATTTAGGGTAAAAACCACGGGCAACGGTAGAAGAATTTCACTATGAGAAAATAGGAATTACAACCTCTCTCGATCTACCAAGGAGAAAACAATGATAATTCTCTCTCGGTAAAAAGGAGAAAACAACTCTCAAGAAACTCTCTAAATTCTCTCTAGTATTGGAAGAAAGCTAGAATGCTTTGGGATGATTTTGAAGCTAAATGAGCTAGGGTATTTATAGTTGAAACCTAAGGACTAATTTGTAAATACCTTAAAGTTTAATGACTAAATTATGATTTAGCCATTGTCCAAAAATCAACAATTTGGTGCCAATTAATGCACATGCACCGAAAGATTTTTTGTCCACCGAAAGGTTGCCATCAACTTGCATGTTAAGTTGAATTTTCAACAATCTCCTACTTGAAGATTTTAATTGGAACAATCATATCTTCACACCATTCTTTCTACCTTGTACCTTCATGTTGCTTATATTTCTGACAGGCCACAAGAGGATCGACACCAAGTAAATTTATCAGAATTGATTGCCTTCGTCATGAAATCTGCTATGTTGTATTTGGTATGGATCTTCTGCATATCTACAGTTCCTTCTTCCACCTTTTCACGAATGAAATGGTATTGAACTCGTTTGTGCTTTGTCCTTGAATGAAATACTGGATTCCTTGCTAGATGCAAGGCGCTTTGACTGTCACAAAAAAAAGAAACATTCTCTTGATTGTGCCCAAGCTCCTCCAATAACATCTTTAACCAAATTGCTTCTTTACTGGCTTGTGTAGCTGCTACATATTCTGCCTCTGTTGTGGATGTAGCCACAACTGACTGCAATTTTGAAACCCAGCTTACAGCTCCATCAGCAACTTTGAACACATATCCTGTAGTAGATTTGCTTTTATCCAAATCCCCTGCATAGTCAGAATCAACATACCCATTGATAAGTAAGTTTGATCCTCCGTAACATAATGCAACATTTGAGGTCCCTTTGATGTATCTTAGGATCCTCTTTACAATATTCCAATGCTCTTTGCCTGGATTCGCCATGTACCGACTAACCACTCCCACTGCTTGTGCAATGTCTGGTCTTGTGCATATCATAGCGAACATTAAACTTCCCACTGCTGATGCATACGGTACTTGAGACATCTCCATCCTCTCTTCTTCACTGCTAGGACTCATACTGGAGGATAATTTGAAGTTAATAAGAAGAGGGGTAGAAATTGGCTTACAATCTTGCATGTTGAATCGTGACAAGATTTTCTTCAAGTAATTCTTTTGTGAAAGCCAAATCTTCCTATTACTTCTGTCTCGGTGAATTTGCATCCCTAGAATCTTGTTTGCTGATCCCAAGTCCTTCATTTCAAATTCCCTAGCCAGTTGTGCCTTCAATTCTTCAATATGATCTTTGTTGGGTCCTGCAACCAACATGTCATCTACATACAACAGCAATATAACAAAATCGTTATCACCAGACCTCTTGAAATAAGCACAAGGGTCTGCATTAAGTCTGTTGTATCCAAGGCACATAATGAAGGAATCAAATCTCTTATACCAACACCTCGGCGCCTGCTTTAGACCGTACAGAGATTTGTTCAACCTGCAAACCAAGTTCTTCTTTTCGTCTTCTTCAAAACCTTCAGGTTGGAGCATATAAATCTCTTCTTCAAGATTTCCATGAAGAAAAGCTGTTTTAACATCTAGCTACTCTAGATGTAAGTCCAATGTAGCACACAATGCCAAAACTACTCGAACTGTTGTTAGTCGAACCACAGGAGAAAATATTTCATTGAAATCAATACCTTCCTTTTGAGCATATCCTTTGACCACCAGTCTTGCACGATACCTCTCAACTTGATCGTCACCATTTCGCTTGATTTTGAAGACCCATTTGTTACCAATTGGCTTCCTTCCTTGTGGTAGTGGCACAAGGTCCCATGTATTATTTTTATGAAGGGCTTCGATTTCTTCTTGCATCGCCATCATCCACAGTGAAGCATTTGAGCTGTTTATTGCCTCCTGGTATGTTGATGGCTCACCGTCCTCTGTTAAAAGGCAGTATGCAATATTACCTTCTATAACATAATCCGAGTGCCAATTGGGACGTCTTCTCACACGATCTGATTGACGAGTTGTTGGAGCTTCAGAACTCTCTGGTTCTTGTTCATCATGTGCTGGTTCTGCTTCAGAAGAATCTCCTTCTTCAAACTCTTTTTCCACATGTATCTGAGTAGTCTCTGACTTTTCAACGTTATCATCGTCTTCTTTTCTTTGTAGCTTATCTTCTACAAAGATAACATCCCTGCTAATGATCACTTTGCGGGCAGTGGGATCCCACAAACGATACCCCTTTACTCCATCAGCATACCCCAAGAATTTGCATTTCCTGGATTTTGGATCCAGCTTTGAAATTTCTTGGGCGTTGTACATCACGTACACAATACTTCCAAATACATGGAGGTTTGAATAATAAACTGGTTTACCAGTCCACATCTCCATTGGTGTCTTCAGCTCTATTGCAGTTGATGGAGCTCGATTCACCAAATAACAGGCGGTATTGACTGCTTCTGCCCATAATGATTTTTCTAGGTCTGCATCCCTCAACATTGCTCTTGTTCTTTCTAACAAGGTTCTGTTCATCCGCTCTGCCACTCCATTTTGTTGAGGAGTGTTCGCCACTGTGAACTGTCTTTTGATGCCTTCTTTCCTGTAAAAGTCATCAAATTCTTCACTTGTATATTCTCCTCCATTATCTGTTCTGAAACACTTGATCTTATTTCCAGAATCAAGTTCCACCCGTGCTTTGAAGTTTTTGAAAGTTGAAAACACATATGACTTCTTCTTAATAGGGTACACCCAACATCTCCTGGAGTAGTCATCAATAAATGAGACAAAGTGTTTTGCTCCACCTAGGGACGTTACTGGTGCTTGCCATACGTCAGAGTGAACCAATTCTAGAACACTTTTGCCTCTAGAATTTGATGTGTTGAATTTCAACCGGTGCTGCTTACTTGTTATGCAATGCTCACACAAAGAAAGTGATACCTTTGTTAAGCCTGGAAGTAGCTTTTGCTCCACAAGGACTTTCATTCCTTGTTCTGACATGTGTCCAAGTTTCTTATGCCATAGCATTGCAGAATCTGAACTACATGAGGCAACAGAGGCTTCTGCTTCTAGCAAAGTCTCTCCCTTCAGCATGTACAAGTTTGCTGCTATCTTTTCGCCTTTCAGTACCACAAGCGCTCCATGGAACACCTTCATGATTCCTTTCCGTGTTTCAATCTTGCTTGCATTATTATCCAACAATCCGTGGGATAATAAATTTTTCTTCAGGCCTTTCACGTGCCGCACATCTCGAACAACTTTAATTGTTCCATCGTACATCTTCAATTTGATGGTTCCCACGCCAATGATCTCTAAGGTATGATCATTGCAACTATACATAGATCCTCCTGAGACAGGTTCATAATGATGGAACCATTCTCTTCTTGAGGTCATGTGATATGTTGCTCCTGAATCAATGAGCCATATATCTGCAAATCTTTTTCTGCCTTCCACGGTGGTTGACGCTTCACAGCATAGAGTATCTCCATCATCTGAAGTGTTTGCAGTATTG